TATCGCTGTATTTATTTATTTAATTGTGGCACTTTATATTAGTGACGTGGTTTTAATTAATGAATGACACATTTATTTATTTAATTACACATTTAATTAATTATTGACACATTTAATTATTTATGTAATGCTGTATTTATTTATTTAATTTTGGCACTTTTTACCCTCCATAGCTGACAGGACCTGGCTGGGGTTTGCAAACATGTAGGTGAAGCTGATCTTGTCACGTAAAAAAACAAAGGAACATGGAAGCTATTTAGAATTGGAAGGCAGATTTAGACTTAATGCAAAGCAATTACAATGGAAAAACTGTTAAAGATTGTAAGTAGAATGAGACTTGATTGATTGATCGCCTTTATTGATGTCACAATGGAGAAAATAACTTGTTTCATCAGCTCAAATAGTTAAAGGAGAAGTAGAAGGCACCAAAGGAAGAAAAAGGTGCGTGGGATATCTACAGTATATACAGTGCGTCCACATGTGACAGCTTTTTTTTTTTACCTGAGAGATATTTTACTTTTTTTTACTTAACCAGAGAGAATAGAGCAGAGGCTGAACTTACGGCAGAACAAACACCCTCATCATGCAGCAAGAGCTCCTCCTGTCTGACTGAGCTTGTGTTATTTTAAAAGAAAATCTGGCTATTGGAAAATTAGGGTTTCTAAATGTAAAAAGCTGGTAGATTTACTGTATATCCCAAGAGATTTGCAGATTAAATCAATACTAATCGGTTTATACAAAGCATTGAGCCAAGGAGACAAGCGAATGCTTGGCAGATTATCTACATCTGTATTTTTAAAGCACATAAAGTTGCAATAAATCTTTTTTATTATGAGTATTGTATCCTTGTGACTTTTTTTTTCACTTTTCAAGTAAATTATTTGGTTTCTTGAAAGTTGTGCTAAACCATCTACTGCATGGAGCCCAGCAGGAGGCACTTTGCTATGTGAGCAGATCTGTATGAATAATTGACAGAGGTGTGTTCCTGTGACTCTGGAAGGGGGTCACCTTAACATCTGGCTCTAAGTTCGCACACAGCAGGAGCTTAGAAACTTTTACACTTCCAACTGCTCTAACTGAAAGACAAAATAATCAAACGTATCAGGTAAACTTTAATCAAAGCAACCTGATCCTCTACAAGTTGTTATATTTTCTTTTCTATGTGACTAAAGCAGGGCTTTACATTCTAAGTAGAGATTTTTTTTTTATCCTATATGCAAATTTTTTTTTTTCATAATCAGCAACAACTGAAGCTGAAACTGTCACAACTAAACCTGAAGCCTTTTAGATGCTTTGTGTGTCCACACTAGCTGTTTATTCAAATTGATTTCTCTAGCTGACTGAAGAAGACCTGTTTGCACCTTCACATGGGGGTGGGTGTCCTACTTGTCATACAGTCCAGTCTTATAAGAGAGGTTTTATGGAGGCTGGGTACTAAAGGCTCACCTCTAGGTTTAATGTGTAAGAAACCACCTGAAAAGAGTGAGAGATAAAATAGTTGATTTATTAAGAAAGTTCAAACACGTGAATCTCAATAGCTGTTTTCAGGTTAAAAACTAGGAAGTGATTTCCATTTGACATTCCCAGCTTCTCCATGGCTAACTTTAATATATGCCCATATAATACATGCGGAAAGTGGAAACAAACATTATGTTAGATTGTTTTTACTGAGTGCAGTGAATGGTTTTTTATTTCTTCATTTTGATTCCCATTAAGTATTGTTTACCATTGAATGAGAGGAAGGTTCTCACCTAATGCACCTGGAAACACTTTCGTCAAAATCTACATAATATATTACAAAGAACCCCTCCCTTTGCAGCCTATAGCAGGTTCTGCCTTGAGAATTGTCAGGTACTTAGCTTCATCTAACTTCCCCAAAACTCTGGCCTGCTTTCTTCTCCTTGGTGAAGGAGAAGGAGGGAACCTACCATGGTATCTCGTGATGCTCGTGTGTTCTGCCCCGTTTTCCATCATAAATAGCATTTTCAAAACATAGATAACATTTTGAGCTCATCTTCGTCCATTTATTGTGCCCCCTGCATGGCTAAAGAAGTGAAAACCAGCCCTCCTATGTTATACTTTATTCTGGCCTTCTTCTTTAAGGATAAGGCTTCTGAAAGCTCAACAAATAGGTATCCTGTCAACGGTGTCTTTATATGTAAAGAGCAAAAGCGTAACAAACGTACCTTTGGGCTCTATGGCCCATTCTTCTTTACAATATTTCAAGCTAGATCTTATTGAATGGGAAACATCTAGACTTCTTTCCGATCTCTCCAGAGATGTTAAATTAGAAACAGATCTACACTGTGGCTTTTCTACTCCAGGACAAAAGTTTGAGTTTGTCCAACAAAGCCTTGTTTTTGTTTAGAAAACATGCACATTGAAACGGACGAACTCAACACCCCTTTGGTTTTGTTAGCCTGCAATGCCCCATACCTGTCTATATCTCTGTAAGGGGTGTCCTTAAAGGGAATTGTTGACCTGGCTGAATAAGCGAAGTCTTCTGTTCCCCAGTAACGGGGCTGGAGTTGCAATGTTATCTAAACAAAAACAAGGCTTTGTTGGGCTACTGAATAAAACCTTGTACTCAATGCTATTTCTGACATTTTGAATTGAAAAAGCTTCCTGGATGGGAAGCGAAGCGTCTTCAAACTTGGAAACAAAGTCTAGTGGATTGTCTTTTTTAACTTTTTTGGAATGACTATGACCTGGATGACTAAGATTCTTCACCAGTATAATGACAGTTAATTAACAGGGATGAGGGGCATAGGTTCCAACACTCACCCAGGTAAATACCATCGAGGTGGGAACATCTCTTCTTGGTCACATTCATGTCCAAATAAAAGAGGAAGACGGGGTGTCCAAAGTTCTCTCCTGGGCTTGGATCCAACACCATCACAACATCATGGGCAGAGGAACTATAGAGGGGCTGGTGGAGTCTATGTGAACCGTCAGCTCTGTTCAGCATTCGTCCGACGTTGAAACTTCCTCTTAGCTTGGAACTCAGCATCCCACTGGAAAAGTCAGGCAGGATGGCCTGGACTTTGTTGAAAGGACCTAGAAAGATGGAGAGCAGAATGTTGCTATTGAGCTGTATTGTAAAGTGCCTTAAAATGACAAGTGTTGTGTAATTGCACTATACAGATAAATAGCTTGAAATTAAATAATTGCATAATAACAAAAAGGAATTAGTCAGGACCAGTAATATATTGAGAGAAACAAGAGCATGATGTAAGTCCTATAACCACAACCTATAACCAAGCCCTATACTCAAACCCTATAACCACAACCTATAACCAAGCCCTATAACCACAACCTTTAACCACGCCCTATAACCAAGCCCTATACTCAAACCCTATAACCACAACCTATAACCAAGCCCTATAACCACAACCTTTAACCACAACCTATAACCAAGCCCTAAAACCACAACCTATAACCACCAACTATAACCAAACCCTATAACCAAACCCTATAACCAAGCCCTATACTCAAACCTTTTAACCACAACCTATAACCAAGCCCTATAACCACAACCTATAACCACACCTTATAAAGCCGGGCTTACACTGTGCGATTTTGCCCTTTTCGGGTCGACTTTCCAGTTGTGCAAGAATTTTCCGATCGGGCTGACTTTCACCCTGATTGTACATCGTGTGTCGTGCAGTGTACAAGGGGTAACAAGGGACGATCAGCCTCTCACGACCATCTCCTGATCAGGAATTGTGAGGTCAGGAAAAAATCCGACATGTTTGATTTTCAGTCAACCATCGTGGCCTAACTGCTTAGTGCACAAACAAGGATTATTCTTCTTCTTCCTTTCAGATGAAAACACAGAATTATGGCGGGTGAAATGGATTTCTTTCTGTAAAATTGACAGACAGTAGTAGCCACGTTTGCTCAGCCATGTCTTTGTCCAAATATGTCGTTCCCTTTTCTTTTTAGGGCTTTCAGCCCAAAATTGCACAAATTACCAAGGCAGCGCGTTTCACTCTAGTGAGCTTCATATTCCTCTTCTACTGGTTTGGCTTCCGGATAGACGAGTCCGAGTAGCACCATCTCACTGCGGAGCTGAGTCCCACCTGGTTTTTAGACATACAGTGTGAGCAACTAGATCGCATCAGAGCGTCATGCTGCACAGACATCGTGAGCTGCGAACTCACACTGTACCACGAAACCCTTGTATTCGTACAGCGTGACCGTAGCTGCTTGCAGCGATTGAAAAAAATCACACAGTGTATGCCTGGCTTAACCATGCCCTATAACCACATGCAATAACCACACCCTATAACCAAGCCTTATATCCATACCCTATAACCACGCCCTGTAACCGCACTCCATAACCAGCAAGTTACAGGTTTCAAACACACAAAAAAAGAGTTCAAATGAATAAATGAGACTTGAAAATAGAAAGTAATATTTAAAATATTAAAGTTGTACTTTTAGGAAAGAAGTGAATGTCTACTGTACGATCCCTAATTAGCTTTAACTGACCATTTGCACAGTAATACATGTAACAAAACAACCTTTAAAAAAGCTTAACCGAGAGAAAAAAATCAAGCCATGTCTCCCAATTGATATACAACAATAATAAAGTATAATGAATATAATTTAAAATCATGGAGAAATGGAGATTAGTAACTTCATCACATTTGTTGTTAAAACTAAAACAGGGGATAAAAATTAGATCATTAGAACCAAAATGTATAAATCTTTAATCTAATTGATCAACAGATCAATTAGAGAATCTAGAAGAAATAATTGATCAAAAAAATATACATTTTAAATTCAATTATACAATATAAAAAAGGCTTAAAAGCTTTAAAACATAAAATATGTGTAAATATGAACTGCTCTGCTGTGACAGTAGGACAGTATGATGGGCCCCATGTCATCCTACCTGTGGCGGCGTGCTGCTCAGACATATACACGGCCACAGACGACGGCGTCAGGTGGGTGAGCCGTCTGCAGTCCGCTTCAGACATGGAGGACATCCGGAGGCAGCGGTCCAGCTGGTCCCACTGCAACACCTGGAGGCCAGAGCGGACCCAGCGGTCCAGCCGACTGAGGGCCACGCTGCTCGGGGGGGCCACAGGCTGCACAGGGTAGATAACGGAGCAAAGAGTTGCAAAAAACCTGAGGAGCTTCATGATTAGGATGCCTTTTTTTCTTTGTAAACTCTGGGAAAATCTGTGCTTTATTTTTGACTATTTCTTCTTTTACATTCCAGTTCCAGAGGTCCTATTTTCCTTGATTTGTTATCTATTTGCCTCTAGTTTTTAATAACTTCTCATTTGAGCCTCTGAATTCTATGTTTTACGTATTTTTCTTGGTGTTAAAAGAATCACCAGTGGAAAAGTATTTTGATTTTCCTCCAAGATGAAATTCTTCCTTTGCTTCTCTCTTGTTTTGTTTTGTCTTTATTTGCCCAGACCTGAAAATGAAGAAGAAATATCCAAAGACATGGCAGGGTTGCAGAAGCTGTCCTCCTCTTGCTGTGTCTTCATTTGAGTCCTCTATATCCTTTATATTTAGTAATTATTTAAAGACACGGTCAGCTGTTCCTGAGCAGATTTTTTTTGTCTGTTTTGTTCTCTTTGGCTTGGAAAAGTTGTCAGGAAAGAAGGCTGCTCTTTCAGTCAGATGTACAGTGAATTATCCCTCTTAGTTTCCCTTCAGCCTTATTTTCTTCTTGATTTTTGAAAGAAAAAAGAGGATCCAAGTTTGCCTGAAATGTGAAAATGAAACTAGTTGATTAGGTTTTGTTCCTCCTTCAATAAAGCTTCTGTAGTCCTCTTTGGACTTAAAGCGGTTTCAGAGTCAAAACTGGTTTAGAAGAAGTCAAATATAGTCCTTGGCTTTTAGTAGACAGACACGGTCTGTCCTGCAGGTTGTCCGCAGCTCAGAGGAAAAAAGCTGCTGCCACAGCTTGTCCTCTGTTTGCCGTGCTCTTTAATATGCCCCCTCTCTCTCTCTGTCCCTCTCATTTTCTCATAAACACACACACACACACTCCTAGCCACTTCTCTCCTCCTATGTCTGCAAGGTTTGATGTGTGACAGAGATGGAAAGGAGGGATGATGAGATAACATGAGAAAACCGTAGAGAGGAGGAATGAAGCAGGGTTAGACAGAGGGCTGGAAATGGGTCGAAAGAGAAGAGGAGGCTGGTAAGATGAGTAATGAAATAAATCAAAGGAAGGATAGTGAGACATACTTTGAGAAAAAAAGAAAAACACATTTACAGAAAGTTTGACAAACATCAACAAGTAAGGAAAAGGAAAATCAGAACCAGAGAATCAGAACTGCAACCAGACTCTACAATGTGACACTACAATGGGAATAACTTGTGCAATTTATAATCTGCAGTTTACCATTTAATACCCTGTGCAATAACTGTTTCTCTATATTTGACACTCAGTGCAATAATTATATATAAAAACATAAATATGAATTAATATAAATACCTGTGTAAACACCCTATGCAATATATAGAAAATATATTATATATAGTAATATATAGTGTAATAATCCTCCTGAAAAAACAAAACAAAAACAAAACTGTGGACACACTGTGCATACTGTATATTTCCAATGCACATTTTTCTTCTTTTGGCACATTCTTCCTCTTTGACTATTTGATCTGATGTAACAAGTAAATGTATCCACTTTGAGATCAATAAGTCAATCAATCAATTAAAGAACAAGTTTGTAAAAACAATAACCAATGGGTGCATGAAACAGGATGAAAATAACTGGGCTAACTGGCAGAAATAAGATGTATTGTACAAATAACCTCCTTCTATTCCAGTGAATGTGGAAAAAAAGCTGCATAAGAAACTAAAGTTACATCCTAAACATGCAAAACTGGTGGTGAGAAACACAAACAAGAAAAAAGTGCATAAACATGATAATTGAACTCAGTATATCACGTCTAATGATCCATTGAATCAAGTACAAAAGGGAATTATATTGGAGGAAAGGCGGAATTCAAAAATGAAAAAACAGTGGATCCGAGAGGAAGAAGAGGGGAGATAAAGTAATGAGGAGAAGAATATTAAGAATATATGAGGAAAGTTTGCGTTTAACAGTGCCCCCTGGTGGCAAAATATGGTAAGTACAAATCAATGACACTCAAACCGGGGTAAAATGTTCTACAATGAATAGGAGCTCACCTGAACCGACGGACGTCCTCATCTGGAAGTTTTCCCTGGGCTCCAGATTTCTGAGCCAGCCGTGCGAGGAAGTGGTGAAAAGCTGCAAAACTGATCATACAGGGATGGGCTGTTAGATTCAAACGGGTGTATTTTCTAAAACCGTGTTTTTGTCTTTATTTTAGTTTTAGTTTTCTCCCTTTACCTGGAGTGGGGCTTGCAGGGTTATTGGAGAACTGTTGGGCAGAGAGCAGAAACATGACCTCCAGAGAGGAAACGGACAGGAGGGCCATCTGGTCGGAGAAATCCAGGAGATCAAAACCTGGGTGACAGAGCACAAGCATGCAGATTCTTAGACATTTAACTTTAATCTACAAAAATAGGAATGAAATGTGGACCTCTCATTGGGATTTAAAAAAAAAAGAACACTGCCTAC